AATTGGGAGCAGTCACATCCATCCACCACCTATGCATGAAATTCCCGACAGAAAATGGGGTAGCAACGGTGAGAGGCGACCAAAGAGGCTTGAGAGAGTGCTATCTAAACTCCATCAAGAAGGTAAAGCCCCAGGACATCCATGTAATCATAGCTAATGTGGTCATGCTGATGTCCCAGGTGATGCTCCCACTGAACAAGAAGATGTTGATATGATCGACGCACCACCTAATCTGGAGGTGCTGGTCATTGATGAGATTGACCCCCGCATAATGGAACACGAGCCTCAAGCATCCCCAGTAGAGGAACTTGAGAGCTTCTCGGTAGACCCCCAAGACCCATCAAAGGTGCTGAAGATAGGCAAATGCCTATCCAATATTCTGAAGGAAAAGATTCAGGATTTCCTAGGTAGGAATCTTGATATCTTTGCTTGGAGGCATGAGGACATGGTAGACATAGACCCCCGAGGTCAACTGTCACCACCTGAAAATCGATCCTAAGGTTGCCCCGTACAGACAAAAAAGGAGAGCCCTCAATCTAGAGAGGTACGAGGCCCTGAAGGAAGAGGTTTAGAAGCTCATCCAAAACGGCTTCATCAGGGAGGCAACCTACCCGAAGTGGGTCTCCAACCCGATTTTAGTTAAGAAACACAACGGCAAATGGAGGGTGTGCATCGACTTTACCAACCTCAATGGAGCTTGCCTGAAAGACGACTTTCCACTCCCCAGGATCGACCAATTGGTAAATTCCACGGCTGGGCACGAGTTGTTGAGCTTTACGGATGCATACTTCGGCTACAACCAAATTCCCATGCACCCGGCCGATTAAGAGCATACCTCTTTCATCACGGACCGAGGCCTCTATTGTTATAGAATGATGCCCTTCGTGTTGAAAAACGTCGGAGCGACCTACCAAAGACTTGTAAACAAGATGTTTATGGACCTCATTAGCAAAACAATGGAGGTCTATGTGGACGACATGCTAGTAAAAAGTTTGGAGGCTGAGGACCACATAACGCACCTCAACAACACTTTTCAAATCCTAAGAAGGTATAGGATGAGGTTCAACCCCCTCAAGTTCGCCTTTGGGGTAGCCTCCGGTAAGTTCTTGGGGTACATGGTCAACCAACGAAGAATAGAGGCCAACCCCGAGAAGATTGAGGCTCTATGCAAGATGAGGTCCCCCCTCCAAAAGCCAAAGGAGGTGCAAAGTCTTATCGAGCGAGTGGCCGCATTTAGCCGCTTCGTCTCCAAAGCTACGGACAAATGCCTCCCATTTTTCAAAGTGCTGAAGGCTGGGAAGAAATTTCAGTGGACTGAGGAATGTGAAGAGGCCTTCCAATGCCTGAAAAGGCACCTGGGGCAGGCCCCCCTCCTTTCCAAACCGAAGCCCGGTGATAGCCTACAATTATATTTAGCCGTCTCCAATGAGGCCATCAGCTCGGTTTTAATACGGGAAGAAAGGTCCACCCAACTCCCCGTATACTGCACAAGTAAAGCGCTCCTATCGCCAGAAACCCATTACCCCGATATAGAGAAGCTCGCTTTGGCCTTGATCACGGCCTCTAGAAAATTGCGACCCTACTTCCAAGCTCACATCATCCATATCCCGATGAACTTTCCCCTGAGGCAGGTACTCTAAAAGACCGATGCCTCAGGAAGGTTATTGAAATGGGCAGTGGAACTAAGTGAATTTGACATTGTGTTCAAGGCTAGGGCAGCCATCAAAGGGCAAGCCTTGGCTGACTTTGTGGCTGAATTTGCCAACCTACCCGAGGTGGATGAAATCATGGAACCCTTCGAGCCTCCCACGTGGAACCTCTTTGTCGATGGGTCAGCTAGAGATGTCGACTCAGGTGTCGACGTTGTCCTCATCAGCCCCGAAGGTCACAAACTCACCTCGACGGTGAGGTTCGGATTCAAAGCTACCAATAATGCAGCAGAATATGAGGCAATTCTTGCGGGCCTCAGGCTAGCCATAGAAATGTAAGTAAAGAGGCTACTCATCAGTAGTGACTCCTAGCTGGTTGTTAGCCAAGTCAATGATAACTTCTCAGCCAAAGACAAAACGATGGCCTCCTATGTACTTGGGACTCTAACCCTAATGACCCACGACAGTTGTCATTGATCTAATAAAATTCCTATGTACTTGGGACTCTAACCGTACTCTACTACTTCAATATTTGACCCACATAAGGACTATCCTAAACATGATTTTAGTATCGGTCTAACTCCTTCACCTAACATGACTCTATCGGATAAGTACATCCACCCAATTCCAATTCTATCAGGAATGTACTACCTATCCTTATAAATACGAGGCATAAGACCATTCTGTAGGTACATTTTCATTATTTTCCAATTTATAGCCTCACGCATAAATTCCTTTTTTGATTTAAGTATCAGAGGGGCGACGAGAACACACCTCATTGCCTTTGTTTCAGGTATCGGAAGACTGAGATCATGCTCATTAAAGGTCCTCAAGCTCGAAAAATCATCAAGTACAATTTTTGATAACATCATTAGTTATTTTGAATTTTTTGGTACAAGTAATGTAGTTTGCGTGTTCAATGCTTAATAAATAAGTGTTTATTTCTTCTTTCTTTTTATTAATTTTTATTCTAATTTTTAACCAGACCTCATTTGATAATTACTGTTAGGTGTTTTTCTTAAATTACACGGGTTGAAGAGGTTCCTGACTTCAAAAGGACACTTAAGAATTATATAAAAGATGAAATATAGATAGGATTGACCAAAAATCAGCAAACATCAACATAACAATTCGAAAAATAAATAAGTACAAGAGCCTGTTTAAACTTTGAACTCAAACAAGTAACTTTCTCATCAATGTTCAATATTTTTGGCGTATCGCTCAAGAAAGCCTTTTTTTTTTTAATAGAAAATGAGTTTTGGAATAGTGATTTTTTGAAAAATGTGCAACTAAAAAGCAGTAAAAGGTTTGAGTTTACGTACAGAATATTTTTTGTGTGAATAGGTAATTGAAAATGAGTTTGAGAAAAAATATATTTGTTTTATGATTATCAAATGGGGAAAGTTAATAGAAAATGTTTGTTGTAATTAATTATTACGTAATTTTTTACAGATAGATGAAATGTTGGTGATGAAGTTTTCCAACCACTGCCAGTTCTCGATCTGCGCTATCATTAGATTCCCCGATAACACACTAAGAGAACTCCCTTCAAATTCTTGTCTTTTCAAGATAGATGCAGCCCTTGTGCATTGCTAATGACTTTGGATGTCATCTCTGGGCTGTCCATTAGAGGGTCATCAATGGCGAATGTAGCGCCGAACGGGCCGGATCATTCGGTTGTATTTGCACGAGCTACCATTACCGGTTCATATGGTGTGCTTTGGTAGTAATATTGGCAATGAACTGATGCAGTGGCGACGCTGAGTACCACAATAGTGTTTATTTCTTCTTTCTTTTTATTAATTTTTATTCTAATTTTTAACCAGACCTCATTTGATAATTACTGTTAGGTGTTTTTCTTAAATTACACGGGTTGAAGAGGTTCCTGACTTCAAAAGGACACTTAAGAATTATATAAAAGATGAAATATAGATAGGATTGACCAAAAATCAGCAAACATCAACATAACAATTCGAAAAATAAATAAGTACAAGAGCCTGTTTAAACTTTGAACTCAAACAAGTAACTTTCTCATCAATGTTCAATATTTTTGGCGTATCGCTTAAGAAAGCCTTGGAGTTGGTGCACGATGATACATGGTCAATTAATTAATAAAGTTCCTTTTTTTTTATGACGGGGAAACTTGCAATCGCTACCCTTTGAGTGCACACTGGGTAAATCCTCAGGCTGGCACGATAACCTACAAATCACGCCAGTTATGTAAACCACACTAAGTAAGCCTGGTGCGAGAAGTTCGACCGAGAAAGTGTTGATAGGAAAAATCGAATTCGTGACCAAAGATCTCCGCATACACCTACTCCACCAACTCGGCCACCCATGAAGGAAGTTCCTTTCTTCTTAATTTGTATGATTATTGTTCAAATCTTTTAACAATCCTCATATTTTGCACTTGTTATTTTAAATTGGCCCAGTTTGACAACCATCATAGGGTTTTTTTTTTCTTTTTTAATAGAAAATAAGTTTTGGAATAGTGATTTTTTGAAAAATGTGCAACTAAAAAGCAGTAAAAGGTTTGAGTTTACGTACATAATATTTTTTGTGTGAATAGGTAATTGAAAATGAGTTTGAGAAAAAATATATTTGTTTTATGATTATCAAATGGGGAAAGTTAATGGGAAAATGTTTGTTGTACTTAATCATTACGTAATTTTTTACAGATAGATGAAATGTCGGTGATGAAGTTTTCCAACCACTGCCAGTTCTCGATCAGCGCTATCATTAGATTCCCCGATAACACACTAAGAGAACTCCCTTCAAATTCTTGTCTTTTCAAGATAGATGCAGCCCTTGTGCATTGCTAATGACTTTGGATGTCATCTCTGGGCCGTCCATTAGAGGGTCATCAATGGCGAATGTAGCGCCGAACGGGCCGGATCATTCGGTTGTATTTGCACGCGCTACCATTACCGGTTCATATCGTGTGCTTTGGTAGTAATATTGGCAATGAACTGATGCAGTGGCGACGCTGAGTACCACAATGCAAGCCAAAAGTTTACCTCTCTCCATCTCCAATTTGCCCATGTACTAAATTATATTGCTTACTGGAATTTATAAGAATAAGCAATTAGTGATTATCTGGTCAATAATTCTTTATTTACTACTTAAATTATTTCCAAATTAGCGAATGGAAAACTTTGAATCGATATAATAATTTTGCATTTACTGATTTTTATTTATCAGAAATTCTAAACTAGCATTTCAAATACCAATTCTGTATTAAACAATGTTCTTGAAATCAACCCCATCAATAGGTGAAGTCAAAACATTCAACAATATCGATTGAACCATTTTTTTAATTTTTCCAATTTAATTTTTTGATTTCACTTAGGATTGACAGCTAAAAAAATCGACATGTATAGCAAGTAAATTATTACAAACTGATAAATAAAATAAACATGGGGCTTGTTTGGTAGTGATTTTGAGCATTGATTTTTTGACCATTGGAGGAAAAAATAGGTCCTATCTGTGAGAGAAATGATAAAAAATGATGGCTTGAAAAATGAAATAACGGTCAAAAAATTGATTTTTTTAGGTGAAAAATCAATACCAAACACCTCTTGTTAGTAAGTTTTAATTAACAGGCTTCGATTATTGATTTTGACTTTACAGTTTGGTTTATTGACTCGAGACATTTGTTTCTTTTGAATTTCCAATGTCAAGGGAACACATTTATTCAAGTAAAACTTGAATTAGTGCTTATGCGGGTTCTTAGGGTAGAAATGTTGGTGGCTTCCTGATCTTGGTTGCTTGTTCAAAACTATAAGCAATTTCAATCAATTTGGGCTCAGTACCCTTCAATCGCCCAAAACATATGCCGATAGGCACCCCTTTGTTATAATATGCAGCAGGTACGATAATGCCCGGGAATCCACCTATAGCGAGTATCGAGGCAACACCAGACCCGGCAGCCACCAACGCGTCCAGCTTGTAATGCCTCATCAGTTTCTCGAACCCGTTTCTCGACAACTCTGCCAAATTCTTCCGAGCTTCTTTCTCTGAGTTCCCAATTCCATTTGTGAGTTCAGCATCTAAAAACACTTTCTGGCCATACTGCTTAGTCATTTCCTGCACATTCATTCAAATGAAAAGTTAAAAGTCCGCTTTATAGTGCTGAGAGTTTCTGGTCTAAATGTTCACGATCTGTACCAAATCAGGGAATTTCTCGTTGAATGCTATTACATCTGCCAGCGATCGAACAGGGGAAGCTATTAGCTCCCTCAAGTACGTGTTCAAGGATATTTTGAACTCTGCTAGCAACGCTGTTTCTTCTGCACTTGAACTGTAATCTAAACTTGCTTTGCCGTCGTCTATTTCCACGAAGACTGCACCTTTCTTCCTGAAGTTGACAAAAAGTTGATTTTTTACCATTCGTTTGGAATTATAATAAAAGTTTCTTGGGAAATACCACACCTTAGTGTTTGCAGATGGTTTTCAAAAGTCTTTGCAACATGGTTTTCTTCAAACTTGAAGAAGGGATTTCTCACTAATCCTAGTCTCTTTCCTTCGAGTCCATCAGCTTTTAGAAATTGTGCGTAACCACCCCGAGGAATGTAATTCGAGGCCTTTCGTGTTGCTTCGTCGTTATAGTCAAAGCCTACAATGGCATCAAGAACGTAAACAGCATC